ATCCTATATTGTTGTTATTATTTCATATCTTATACTCTCCATTGTCTCCCTTCATTTCTGTTATTCGTCCCCTTGAAACATCCCTAATATAATTATTTTTAATCTCAAACTAATTAGCATTAGAAGCACTCCTAGGAGAGTTGAGAATAAGAGTAGTAGTCATCAATAGTTGACACCTTATTTTAAGTCCTAGCTGATGAAAAAGATGAAATTCATGTTTGCAAATGCATATTTACCTAGAAAACCCAAAGAAATGAGAAACCTGGGTGAATAAAATCAGCAACATAAGCTGCTTACCAAAGTGATATATTAAAAGTTCAACACTTTTCCCACATATGAACAACCATTTAGAAAATAGAATGGAACAAAAGCATTTATTTTACAGCCTCAAGGAAAAGTCTAAGTTAGGAATCTATCCAAAAATGTGTAGGACCTAAGCAAGAAAAGAAATTGCTTGTGTGATACAATTAACAGGGTTAGGAACTAGGAGCACTGTGTGTTCTTGAGTGAGAGTGGAGATATTTTAAATCAAATTGAGCAACTGTATCCTAAACTAATAAGTGAATTTGCTATTCCAAGTCGAATACTTCTAAAAAAATTTAAATCTAGGAACAGACTTCAGAACATCTGAGGAAAGAACAATAACCATGGGACAGTTAGCATTATAATATACTAAACAAACTAATGTCATTAGATTAGAACAATCACAATGTGCAGGTGGGTAGAAAAGAAAATCCACACTACTTTGGGGGACTGGTGGAGGCTGTGTACCCTGGTTAAGAGCCCAGGCTCTGGAGTCCAACTCTGCCTTTTTTCTAAGAATCTTTTCTCCTGCTGTAAACTGGGAAGGGTGGTAAAATTTACATCCAAGGACTGTGGGGCATTAGATGATACACTGGTAAATGTGCAATAAACATTAGTTGCCAATAGTGGCAGTGGATTGTGATAAAAGTAGTTTTTCAAATAAAAAAGATTACACACATTGATTAGAGCCGTGTTTCCCAAAGTGGCTGATATTACCCTCTGGGAGATGCTGAAACGACGGGATGGGGGCTGTAAAAGCTGATGCCTACACTTTATTGGATTATGAGCTATAGTACAGAAGTTTTTATTTTTTTATTAATCATTTTTTTGGGCGCTCTTACAAATCTTATGACAATCTATCATTCAGTTGTATTAAGCACACTTGTACATATGTTGCCATCAATATTTCCAAAACATTTTCTTTCTACTTGAGCCCTTGGTATCAGCTCCTCTTTTTTTACAGATGTTTTTAATTGCAAGGGGGATGCTGAGGATTTTTCTGAAAAGGAGTCAGTAAACCAAATAAGTTTGAGTACCTATGGGTTAGGGGAAGAATGAAACAATTTTAAATTTAAAAAGTCAAATCATAAAAACATTTGTTCTTTGAGAGGGAAGACGAAAACCAAAGCCATTGCCATCCAGGTCAGTTCTGACCCCGACCCTGTGGGACAGAACTGCCGTGGGCTCTCCCAGGCTATGGTATTTATGGAAACTGGCCACCACGTCTTCTTCCCAGAGCAGGTGGTGGGTTCAAACTACAGAATTTTCCAATTGATAAAAATGGCCAAAGGTTATGATCAAATTCAAAAAGAAGACATAGAAATGGGTTGATTAATATATAAAAGGGCACTCTACCCTCCCACATAATTAAGCACAAATGTTAAAAGTACATTTTTACTAGCTGTCATCAAGTCAGTTCTGACTCGGGTGACCCCATGAGTGTTACAGTCAAACTGCCCCATGAGGTTTCCAGAAGTAGATTGCTGAGCCTACTGTGTGCCCCTGAGTGCCTCAGCCCTCCAGCCTTTGTGAGCCTCACACACTTAACCACTTGTACTGCCCAGGGACTCAGAGGAACCAGATGACAGTCATAGACCACACTAAGAGTTCATAAATTCAATAAGATCTGGCAATGAAAGAGCATTCGAGAAAAAGGCATAGGGTTTTTTAGGACAAACTATTTTTATTAGATGTGTTTAAATAGTCTGACCAACTGATGCTATAAATTCCACTTCTAGTACTTTTTTCTGGTGATAGAGCTTTACAGCTGAGCAAAGAAGTGTTTAGAAATGTTTACTGTCTCATTTAAAAGAAGTCAGCATGTAAGCATCCTAAACAACCACCCAGTTATAAACGAAATTATTCATTATTTTTTGTTATAACGTATAAGAATTAAGAGTTTTATGAATTTTTTTATGAATTATTATTATGGACTTTTGTGTGTAAAGAAAATGATACATGCCATAAAAGTTCCTTAAGCAAGATATAAAAAAATATTAAAACACTTATTTTTAAATAGTCTTTTCTTTCTTTTTTTTTTTTCAGGAAAATGTCGGATGAATTTTCGGTAAGTTGGCACAATTCTCCTTAGTAAGTTTTAGGGTTCTTTAAGAAAAATGATAGCATCCTAATTGGGCTATGTGTAAGCCTTATTATTTAAAAGAGATGCTTTTTTGTGGTTGTTAGGTTTTGAGGGTTTTCTGGGCTTTTTTGTTTGATTCATTTTATATTTTTCATGTGATTTTGATAGGCAATTAGACCTCATTTATTTAGCTATAATGTGTTTTAAAGTCCAAACTCTAGTTATTTACTAATTCTTAGGTCAAAATTACAAAAGCAATTACTTCTAATGTTGAAATGGAATGGTTTTACTTTTGAAGGTGCTGCTTGGCTCTAAGTTGACATAAGGTAGATAATATTTCTGTTTTGTATTCCAGTTGGCCGATGCCCTACCTGAACACTCTCCTGCCAAAACCTCTGGTGTTAGCAATACAAAGCCTGGTCAGCCTCCCCAAGGCTGGCCGGGGTCCAACCCTTGGACTAACCCAAGTGCTCCACCTTCTGTGCCATCTGGACTCCCACCAAGTGCAACACCGTCCACTGTGCCTTTCGGACCTGCACCAGCAGGAATGTACCCCACTGTGCCTCCCACTGGACCGCCTCCAGGACCCCCAGCACCCTTTCCTCCTTCTGGACCATCATGCCCCCCACCTGGTGGTCCTTATCCAGCCCCAACTGTGCCAGGCCCTGGCCCCACAGGGCCATATCCTACACCAAATATGCCCTTTCCTGAGCTACCTAGACCATATGGTGCACCTACAGATCCAGCTGCCGCTGGTCCCTTAGGTCCATGGGGATCCATGTCTTCTGGACCATGGGCACCAGGAATGGGAGGGCAATATCCTACCCCCAATATGCCATATCCATCTCCAGGGCCATATTCTGCTCCTCCTCCTCCCCAAGCTCCAGGGGCTGCACCCCCAGTTCCATGGGGCACTGTTCCACCAGGCGCCTGGGGACCACCAGCACCCTACCCTGCCCCTGCAGGATCATATCCCACACCAGGACTCTATCCCACTCCTAATAATCCTTTTCAAGTGCCTTCAGGACCATCTGGTGCTCCACCAATGCCTGGTGGCCCCCATGTAAGTGCTGATTTTGTTACTTAACATGCACAGATTGTCACATTATGTACAACTGAAAGATTGTGTCTCCCAGATTTTAAGATGGATGATTAGAAAGTTTTCTTAGCTTTTTAAAAGGGGAGGTGTGTATGTAAGTAAATTTCAGAAATTCATCAAAGCAGTTTAAAAGGATGAAAGCACACGTTCAATGTTCCTGGTACTATTTTCTAAAGATTTTATAAGAATATAAGCATTATTCTCAACAGCATCCTGAAGGTATAAACTCTTGAGCTACTTGCTTGAACCTTTCTCCATATTACAGTATACCAAAGCACAATTCAGTTAGAGCAATTTCTGCCTATCTGGCAGCTGGGTAAAGAAGTACTTTTTGGGAACCGATTGCAAGGAACTATATGTGACCTCCTCCCTGGGGGACGGACAACAGGAAAGTGGGTGAGGGGAGACGTCGGACAGGGCAAGATATGACAAAATAACTATTTATAAACTATCAAGGGCTTATGAGAGAGGGGGGAGTGGGGAGGGAGGGGAAAAATGAGGACCTAATGTCAGGGGTTTAAGTGGAGAGAAAATGTTTTGAGAACGAAGTACACGTGTGCTTTACACATTTGATGTGTGTAAGTACTTTTTTAGGGAATCCAGGATAATGAATGTATAATACTGCTCACCCTTCAACACCTATCCATAGTTTCTCTAACAAGGTTTTGTTAAATCTTCAATAGCATTGAGTTCAAGATTATATCACTATTTTGTTTGCGTTGGTTAAATGCAGTGCTATATGATTTCCTGTCGGTGAAGCTAGAATTGGGTTGACATCCTTGTTGAACTGGTCTAGGACACATGACTGAATAAACTGGCTTCCTACCTCACTAATGAGGTAAGCCAAGGGAATATCTGAAAACAGCCAAGGCCCTCCCTCAAGGAAATGTACCTGTTTACACGTAATAACTAATCAGATTCCCAAGAAGATTAATCAAACAAACAAAAATTAACTATAAAAGAAAATCTTAATATTAAGTACACCCTATCATTATTGTTAGGAGCCCTGGTGGCATAGTGGTTTTGAGTTGGGCTGCGATCCTCGTGGTCGGCAGTTTGAAACCACCAGCTGCTCTTCAGGAGAGAGATGGGACTCTTACTCCCGTGAACAGTGCAATCTGGGAAACCCACGGGGCCGTGCTATGAGTTGGCCTCAATTCGATGGCAGTAAGCTTGGTTTGAGAGTTTTATCATTATTGCTACATCTTAACAGATCTTTATATTTCTTCGTTCTTGTTATATTTTCAGTGTGCATGCCCAAATGATTGAGATGACTTGTTCTTTTAAATATTAAGCGATGAATTTATTGTAAGCCACTGAAAGGAATTCATAAACTGCTTACAAAATCTATAGGGTGACTTTGTCTCTTTTCTGTTGCAGTCTTACCATTGAGGAAACAGTGGACGAAGAGATGGCGCTTGCTCTTTGAATTACATATGTATGCACGTGTGACTGCATAGATAAAAATTACTGGTTTCACTATTGGAGGGCATTCATGAAAGAACAACTCTCGCACCTCTCCGAAGATACCTGCCTCTTGTACTTGGGTGTACAGTTGAAACAATCAGATATAAACATAAATCATTCTAATGAGATTTTATTTGGTTTTCATGGAAAGTTAAAATGATGAAGTATATTGAATAGCTCTTTGATAGAATTTAAAACACAAAAATACACACTTAAAAATCTAAAATGATGTGGGTTATTGTTAGAATCTTCAACTTCATTGGAACATTATGGAAGTGTTTTTTATAATCACTTTCTTCCCCTAAATAAACACTTTGAATAACAATCACATTGCCATAATGTAGACAAATGATGCCTCGAAGCAGTTTGAGCTGCTCTTTCTATCGGATAAATGAACCTGGTCCTTTTGAGGTGTTACGTGTTAGATATACAGTTAAAACTGCCCATAATTATTATAAGACGTTGAATTCACTAGCTAGCCAATGTTCACTTTTATCTTTGAACTTTGGTCAGAAAAAACTTTTTAGTGCCACCTAATTTATACCTGTTTTTAGCTGAATGGGTGGTATAACTGAACTCTGCCACTTAGATAAAGTTGTTTTGTTTTGTTTTTAATCTAGGCCAACGTGTATGTAAATTACAAATTTAGAGAACTGACTTTTCTTTTTTTGCTTTAAATAGATTATAAGATGTCCATGTTGCTTTGAGATGAGTTCAAGGAAATAGTTCTCTCCTTTATTGTGAACTTCAAACTAGAGGAAGCCTGGCTTCATAGCAACCAGTAATTTGCCTTCCCACAAAACCTAAGGTTGCCCTTCATCCCAGACCTTTGACTATAGTTTGTCCCTCCCTTCTTCAGTTCTCTGAAGGAGTACATCCTTTATTTTCCAGCCCACCCCAATATGAAAAACTGGTACACATTAGGGGTCTTTATGAAAGTACAAGTGAGCATCAGAATGTATGTATCCTCTAGAGTCTGGTTATGATTGGTCACTGCGGAGTACTTTTCTGGATCTATTTGTAAAGTGCTTACCGCTCACAGTTCTGAATTTGTTGACAGGTACATAAGGGACAAAAGTGCCATCCTTGCAAATTAACCCTTACTCTTTTAACACATGAAAATAATAAACCACAGATCTCTGCAATTGAGTGCAAAGCAGTATGATTATCTGTAGCCACCAAAACAACTTTTGACACCTTTTAATTCACATTTTTAGATTTGGAATAAATGAGTTTGACAGAACTGGCCTTGTTATTTGTTAAACTCTTAGAATGTTGAATGTATCCATTGGATTTCTAAAATGTATTCTGGATTTCTTGAACTAATATTAGAGAAACTTATGCTGGAGCACCGTCTGTTGAGTAAAATACTTAATAGTGTTTCTTCTGCAGCTAAAATGTCAGAATGCCAAACACTGTCCATGTAGTGCTTGATAGCTACCTCCTTGTAAGACCAGGGACATTAAGGGGTTAAGCCTCCCATATTTTAAGTAGATGATATATTAACCAGCTTTTATAATCAATAGGGGTGGAACCTAATAATGCCCCACCTGGGTGATATTACACAGCTTTTAGATGGCGACAGCACCTGGTCTTCTTTCACTTCCTCGTGCAAGGGTGGGTGGCAGCAGCTGCAGCACTCCCAAGAATGTGTTGTCAGAATCGCTTCAGGTTGACAAGGCAGGTGGATGGCCTTAGGACACATGAGTTATAGTCTCCTAACCAGGTAAGATGATTGGGAGAGTGAACTGGCCGCAGAGATCTCTTCTTCCCGATGTTTTGGTTGCCTTGCATCGGGTTAAGTTGCCAGCACCAGCTTTAGGTGAAGGATTTAGCACTAAAGAAGGTGTAGTTTGACAAAAAGAAGAGCTATAGAGTTTGGGAATCTCTTAATTGTGCAGTCATTTGTCTGGATTATAGGAGAACATGTTTCGCCTAAGAATTGACAAGGCCATGAAGACAAGATGAGAGATTACTACTACCCATAAGTGTAATAATTTTTTTTAATGATTCATACTGCCCCACTACCCTGGACTGTTGCCATTTTAATTAACACTTCGCCTTTAGCAGGGGGAAGTTGTACTTGGTTTAACTGTAAGAATGGAAACCAAGGGGATCGTAAACTGACTATTCTGTAGAGCACCATTTTCTTCAGTGGCAAGGAATCTCAATTCTTGTACTCTGGGTCAGAAAGTACATTGGGATTTAGGGTGGATTTAAGAGGGAAAAGCATCGGATCAGGTCATGCTAGGCTGGGAACGGACTGGGAGAGGCTGCTTGTTGGCACATTGGGTCTTCAGGGAATGCATACTGGTATTTGGACTTTGGGCAAAGGCTCCGAAATACATTTGATGGAAATCATTGAGCTGTTGAAGGCTGCTGTTTCTGAGAATCCTGGCTTTCAAATGAGAAGACAAAAGCAGTACAGAGTTTGAGGCCAAAGTACAGTAAAGAATTAAGACAAATAGATTGCAAGGTAGAGTATATAGATGTCAACTTGTCTTACACACAATTTTCGAGAATTAAATGCTTCTTAAAGGAGTGCTTTCAATCCCTTGACAAATTTATTATGGGGCTCAGCCTGACATCTCTTCGTGCTTTTGAAGAAACGGGGGTTTTTGTTGTTTTTTAAGCTCGGGCTCCACAGCACTATTTGTTTATAGTAATATATTGATTGTTCATGAGCAGTTAGTCATGCTTTTTTCAGTCCGGAGCCCACCTCCTTTTTCCATTACTCTGTTGGTTGTCTTCAGTAACGAGTGAGAGGACGGGAGAGAGGGAGTGGGTTTCAGGCCTTGCTGAGACACGTACTACAGTGGACTATTGGGATCTTTTCTAGGAAAACAGCCCAACTATGTCCATGATATTTTACCTCACTAGTGATTAGTGCCATCGATAGTATTCAAGTGCACAGTTTTTTGAAGCTACTTTATATAGATGAACACAGCTCCACTCAAAATACTATGCCTAATTTACATATCAATTGCCTACACTTATAAAAGTGCCAACATCTTCCTTTCTCACCCCGAATAATTTAGAACTGGCTTTTTAAAACACCAGTTTCAAACCCTAGAAATTCGTTTTCAGCACAGACCGTTGAAAGTATTTGAGAAGCGTAACTAAATGCAGATCAATCACCAAATTCTATACTGTGGTGGGTGGTTCAGGGAAGGCTAATCTTAATGTTTAGTATTGAAGACAGACACCCTTTTGTGTGCAGAATTCTGCCAAATAAAAATGGCCAAGAAGGGAATCAGTATTAAGTCCCATGCAGCCTTAGGCTTTAGAAAACATCTGAGGACTCTAGTCAACAGCAATTGAAATATGTCTGTGGTGCAGGTGCCAGAGCCACGGCGCTGCAAGAGAAATTCCTGTCCTTGAGAGGCCCACAGTCTGGGGGGCTCGACGACGGAGTTCTTGGCGCAGACAGCCATGTAGGCAGCTGCGGATCTGAGTTGACTGAATGGCAGTGGGATTTTTTACTGGCAGGGGGTGGTAGTCTGTAGATAGCTGCGTTGTAATATTGCTGGTGAAAACTAGACCAGTTGGGGCATCTTCAAAGGGTCAAGTCCAGTATGCTTCCCCCAAAGTGTAGTGGTTATCATTGTAACATTGCTAGAGTGTGGTCCTGGGGTATTTTTCCTCTCACCTTTACCCTGGATGAAGGCACTTTGCCTGTCACTAGTCAGCAGATACTAATTTGTTAACATTAAATCAACCTGACTTTAACGTGTGCTCTGTGAAGATACTTTGTTTCTTTTGTTTTTCTGGAAATTATGATTTTTTTTTCTCATTGACTTTTTCATGATAAATTTAGTGTATGTAGTTGTCTATGCATTTTAAGTTAAACTGCCTAAAATGTGATTTGAGACATACACTTGTATTGTGAACTGTAAGCAATCTGTTTGGAGATATGCTCGGTTTTACCATCTGCTGCTGTATTTGTAAATGAAGACAAATGTTGCTTTAAGAAGTAATTATAATTAGGAGTAGTCTATGGATGTGATACTTGATATTTTTTAAGGTAAACCTATTTGCTTTTGTGTATTATATCTGAAAACTTTTAAAAAATGTATTTTCATGGCTGTGTAGTTTTTCTACGTATTTTTTCTTCTTTAGGCTGAATTCTGGGCCTGCCTGAACAAGTTAAAGCAAAATTGATAGTGGGAGCCATCTACAATCCCCAAGGCAGCCTGGACATGGCCCCTTCGTCCACAGACATTCTAGGGAAGTTAGCTTTTATGGAAAACGGGCCTGCTCTTGCTGTGCATATCCTGAGAGCCCCGTTACTAAACCCGTTTCCTTCCCATGGGAAGTTAGCCGGCCTTGCTCCAAACTCGTTATGTACTGGGCTATGCAAGAAGTGACTATTTCTTGGTATGCATTCTACCTTAGAATTCGATTGCTGCTTTTGCCTCATAATGGACAAAATGCCACTGTAAATTTTTTAGTTTCTTGATGTCTTATTCTAGTTTAATATTGGTCATCTAAAAGGGACTTCTGCCATCGAAACAATGCTGACTTATAGTGACCCTCTGGGTTTCCGAGAGAGTAATCTTACAGGAGTGGAAAACCCATTCTTTTGAGCTGCTGCTGGTTTTGATTTGCCAGCCATATGGATCTCCGCCTAACAGGTAACCACTGTGCCACCAGGGCTCCTAAATGGACTTGGAGGTGGTTAAATATGGCTGCTGGAGCAGGCCCCATTTTCCTATCATGAGATGCCATTGCTTTGACAAACACCCGCTTCCCTGGGCTATATGACCCAGGCAAAGTCTACCATTATAGTAATATTTTCAGCGCTAAAGCAAAGTCTAGCCCTATTCACTTACTCCAAGTAAGACAAGGGCATAACTTCTGAAGCCAAAGGGTAACAGCCCAACCCATAACGACCTTGTGCCATTGTGGATGGTTTGCCTACACTTGAATAAGCTTATGTGGCTGCATTAAGTAGTGTATTCATTCTGTTTGGCTCAGGGCTTGGTGGGGCGAGGGGCTGGAATTGAGCACAAGCTCTGCTTTCACCACAACTTTACTATCTCACTATATTTTTTGTTTACTTCCTGATGCGTTGGGGGTTGTGGGGGGTGGGGGTGGCGGGGGCAAGGGGTTGCTTCTCTTAAAATTAAGAAATGGAGTAGATGGCTATACCACCAGTCTGTGAGGTTCTCAAGGATAGACTGCAGCCATATATAGAGTACTGAGCCATCACAGGAAAGGGATTGCAATGGTGTTAAGACTAGACTTTGGTAGACTTCGTATAAAGATGCCTAACACGTCTTGAAGATGAATCGAACGATCAGAAACCTGGTTACTTAGACATTGGAGGTTACCATGAGGAAGAGGACCCCTTTGGGAAGATGAGGCAGTAGACCAGCAGGGGTGGGAACATCCAGCCTGAGGCCCTTAAATACACCCCAAGAAAACAAGGCCAGCCAACATCACACCTCACCTAGAGAAGCAGTGCCCGCTGTCATGTTTGGGGTGAGTCAGTTTATGTATGTTTTGCCCGTCCTAGCCCCTGGGCTTCTTCTAAAACCCTACTTTTGAGACACAGTTCAGGAGACAAAAAGTCGACACTATACAGTTAACATGCAACGTCGCATTTAAACCACCACAAACCAAGTCAGTTCTGCCCCCATTCTAGTAGTCACTGCCTAGAGATGTGGCATGAGGATTAAATCCTGGGTGTGATAGCAAAGCATTGGCTTTAAACCACTGTTGTACAGATGAGGTAGTAGAGTGTAATGGTGGAGAGGTAGTGTAGTGGACACTTCTGTTCTGAAGAACGGCTTTTCTGTATTCCATTTGCCTGTCATGGGTTGTCCTAGGGTCATCATTCGGCTTCCTAAATTGTACCCTTCCTAAATTATTGTCTAGTGCTCCTGTAACACAAATACCACACGTGGGTATCTTTAAAGACCAGAGATTGTGTTCACAGGTGTGGAAATAAAAAATCCAAGTTGGGATCATGGCAAATTCTTGGCAATCCTCACATGACTGTGTGTGTAACAGATGAAATTAGATTAGACACATTCTACCACTGTTAATCTCATTAACACAATAAAGCCACACTTCCAAATAGAATTATCTCCACAGTTATTGGGGATAGCATTCCAACACATCGGAGCTACACAATTTAATAAGCTTCACTGAAAAATAAGAGGGTGTTTAGAATGCCATATCCTAGTTCAGTGAGCAATAATAGGTCTTAGTCCACTGACTTGGAACCTACTGTTATTTTCACCAGCAAAGGCGATGTTCAAAGAGGGAGCAGTTTAAGCATAGATACAAGATGTGTGAGGATTGTTCTACTATGTGTCAGATCTTCAAGCCATGAGTTCCAGGCCTTTGCTCAGCAGCTAGTGAAGGCGCTCTGTGTATCCAGCTGTCCTGCAGGGAGAAAAGAGAGTAGGCCAACACTGGCTGAGACAGAGAGGATTCTGTTAGCAGTGAGTGAGCAGCCAAGAGGTACAGGAACTGTTCAGGGGGCAGCGTCAGAGGGCCGTTCTGCCAAGTATGGCTTGACAGTTCTTTTTTTTAGACTTGCCAATCCAAGACACGCTACATTAAGACATCTCAACGGTTGCTTGGTTACTGCAACACACAGAAATCCCAAGTTCTAATTTTAATGAATACCTGGATCCCTGATTGAATGCTTAACAAGATCTCTGCAAAAGAAAAAAAAGCAAAACTGCATACTAATGATCAAGAGTCTTGCCTTGGCTTTTTATGGAAGTGGGATGGAGAGGATTAATTGGAAATGCCTCTATACAAACCTGAGAAGATTTGTCTGGAAGCGGGTAATAAGTCTTTTTCACCTCTGGTGGATCCTTAATTGAAATCTAATCAAATTCTGGAAGGCTGCCCTCCGTGGTTCAGTGAGCGGTGCAATTGCTGGGGATTTAGGGAGCAGACATGTTCTTTTTAGCTGTGAGTTCACCTCTGGAGTGAAATTGTCAATTTGCTACCTTCCTGTTCTCATTTATCTATAAAAGAGGTTCAAAGTGCTCTGAGGAGGGGTGGTGGTGAATTACTCTCCCCTTTGGTGTGTTAGCATTACCAAAAAAATATACATCTGATACATTGTGTTTTTACTAATGTTCCAGGAGTCGTGGCTGCTGGTGGTTAAACACGTGGTAGCTAACTGAAAGGTCAGCTGTTCAAATCCCCCAGCTCCACCACAGGAGTCAGCTTCTATGAAGATTACAGCCTTGCAACCCCCTCAGGCAGTTCTAAGCGGTCCTGTAGTGTTGCCAGAGTGGACTTGATGGCTGCGGGTTTGGTGTTCTTTGTTAGTACTGATGCTCCTTTCTTGAATCAGACTTAAAATTGAGGGGTAAAAGTTTTTTTTTTTAATATGGCAATTTAGTGATTTTTATTGAGATTGCATAAGAAGGTACCTCTATTGATAGTGCCATTAATTTTGTCACTGGTGTAGAATTTAAAACACTGTTCACAAGATGAAATTATACAAGTATAGACCAGCTGCGAACATGAATGGATGTTGACTTGTACAGATTAAACTCTTAAGTGCCTGGACACTACACAAACAGTGGGGGTTGGTGATAAGTCAAAACTTCCTATAACATTCATTCACAAATGCTGAACCACACCTACCAGATCAATATCTGTCGCAATAAAGCAAGGAGGGTATTAAAATAGTAAATGTGTGGCAGTCCCAGGCCACCATTCACTGGGCACCCTCAAGGCAAGAGATCTGAACCGAAGTCCAACGGCTACCAGTTCTATACTCTTGGGATGATAGTCATCTACTTCGTCTCCCACTTGGGAGTTTCAGCCTTACGTCCAAGGGCTACAGGTGAGGTTAAGGTAAAGCCAAGTTCACTTAGTGGAGTTTCCACACTGAATCCTTCTGGCATGGCTATAAAGGATGTGTGCCTCAAAAGAACAGAGTCCGAAGTCCCAATAGTGTGTAGCACACTGACTGGGTCACCAAGGGCTGGGTGGAAACTAGGTCCAAAGTATCCATTTAGGAATGTAGCACTGGGAATATTCTCCGCTTGGGTACTATATAAGTATTACTAAGCATTTTTTTCCCAATGGAAAGTTGCTGCTTCCTGTTTACGCACCAACAGAAATGTAATTGCCTTCTCCGAGACATACTTGATCCCTTCCCCCCATCTTGACTTGAATTTCTGGTAAGCTTTGTTTATCACTCTGGTAGGAATGTCTGTGGAGTTATGTATGGAGTTATGTATGTATGTTAGCACAGTTTTGTATGGATACAACGGAGTGGTCCTCCCCTCATGAAAAACTGGGTTCAAGTGGTTTTTAAGTTGTACACATAGAGGGGGTGACATGGCTCATGGACTCTAGACGGGTTCTCTACCTTGTTGCTTGGGAGACCACATTAAAAGATTTCGTGAACTGGGACCTGGGAGCAGAAGCCTGCCTTCATCTTGTTTATCCTTACAGTACGGACTCATTTGTCCTTTTGTGATTGACTAACTTCACTCCACGTAAGGGTTTCCAGGTCCACATCATGCAATGTTTCATTGATGTTGTTTAGGGCTGCATAGTACTTCATTGTGTGTAGGTAGCAGTTTCTTTATACGTTCTACTGAAGGGCATTTGGACTATGTCCAGCTTCTTGCTATTGTAAACGCTGCAGTGAGCATGGGAGGGCATATGTCAGTTCATGTTCTCTTATTTCTTTGCAGTATATGCCCAGCAAAAGTATTGCTTGGTCATATTGTATTTATCTGTTGTGTCTTCATCCAGTAATCCAATAATTCTAATGTTCTTCATAGCATGAGACGTAGCTCTTAGGTTTTCTTTAGCTTCTCTGATGATACTAGATTTTTGTTTGCGTTTGTTAAAATCTGTTTGGCTGTCCTCCAAGTCACTGGTGCGGTTCTCAGCTTCCTCCAGTCGATTCTCGAGGTCTGTGTGTCTGCTACTGTTTTTTGTTATCTCGTCCCTATCCTCTTATATTTCCCTTTGGTGTATGGACTTTATCTCCTCTATCATTTCATCCTTTTTCTGTATTATTTCCCTCATATCTTGTAGGACTCCAAGCAGCATTCTGAAAATCTCTTTCTGTGGCAGCTCAATGTCTGCT